TATAACTACTCGTTATTATATAATCCTTTTTTCAAAGTTTATTTTTTATCCAGCATTGTCTGTTTCTTTTCTCTTGTTATTAATTATTCAGTTACTTTAAGTCCTCTCATCATTAGTTGATAAGGCTTATTGGATTTTGTATCATTTCTGGATATCAGGATATTTAATTTGAGTAAGATTCTTTGTTTTGAATATAAATCTTGCGACACTAATTTTATGGTTTTGGTTCCTATTATCAGCCCAATGAAGATTTCTTGGATGATGAGACTAAATTTGTGATCTGCTGTCAGTATCATTTGTTTTGAACAGCGGCATTTGTCTGAGGGCCAAGTAAGAAAACGGCCTTTATTGGCCCTAAATATGAGGAATGATTTAAAAGCAGGATTTGAATTAGATTACACTTGAAAGGCTGTTTTGAAACTGTTTATTAATATTATTTTTATCAGAAAGCTTATTTTGAGATGTTTTTCTTAGGTTAATATTCGTCTACATGGAATAAACGATACTTTTCGAAGGACTGAACAAACAAGCACTTTCATGGCATCTGTACACATGCAGCAGTATTATCTTACACATCTTCATCCTGCTTTGGGTTGGGTGAGTTACTTTCATTAACTGAGACAAATTTGAAAGTACGAGTAAATTTTTGTTCGACTTCTTTTCATTTTGTTGATACTTTCGGTTCGTCCTACTTTTTCCAAGTCTATATTTTTTTAAAGTTTATAATTAGAATAATATAGTTGCAAATTTCATAGTATGTTAGCATATATAACAAATGCTTGTTTCATCTAGTTCGTTACAAAATTCATACTATATGTTTGTAGTTGTTAATACTAATTAAAATTTTTTATTAGCACAGGAATATTGAAAAGGAACAGCATCTTTTTCCATTTTTAGCTACTTAAAAATTTTTCGACCTGTATTCTAATTTTTCCATGAAATATTGGAAAGAAATCAAGAATCCAATAATTCATAATCACATGATCGCACAAATATTTAATTAGTGTAATATAGTGTATTATGATATATAATCTTCAGCTATCACCTATCTGTTAGTTTCAGATCCTTACCAATGCAGTCTGTGCGGTCCTAGCGTTACTAGTCAGAGAAGCAATACAAATAACTATTGGGAAGATGGGAGTTCAGGTTAATTTTAATTTGTGATTCAAATCTTACTTCTGCAATTGGAGCATAGCATATTTAATATCAGAAAATGAAGTAGTCATTGTTAAAAGATAGAAAATATCTTCTTAAAAAAGATTCATTAAAATCTTAATAACATTATATATAATAGCTGTGCAGTTCGCAGCTACAGTTCTAATGCCTTTGAAATTTTTTTTGTGTCATTGAATTGAGACCAGTAGTGCTTATCAAACTTTTCTAGATTCATTTTTAGGAATCGGCATTTTTACGTGATCGAATATGCAATTTTGTTCTTTACAAAGCTGTATTTTTATTTGGCGTATTAAATAATATTGACCGTGGTGATATCATTTCTTGGATTTTATGGTCTGCACTGCTTGCAGCAGTCACTGCGCTGCAAAGTATAATTGAATATAGATTGAAATATGTGAGGATTTTAGGATTTATTGAGTTATATACAATTTTCATTCATCCGAAGTTGAGATTTGAAAAAGATAAAATCATTTATGTGGTTGATGGAATGTGATTTTTTTCAAATACTATTGTGCTGACGAATCTTTTTCTAGTCGGTTCTAACTTTTTAATTTGAAGTTTTAAATTGAGATGCACATGTCGATCAAGTTTTTTTGCTAATTTTTACAGCTGATTCCGTCGTTATCTTCGAAAACAGTTTTATTTCGTGTTTTAATTCTGGCTGCATTTTTGCTGACAATATCAACTGCATTTATTTATTGCGCATATGTTGCTTTTCATCTTTTTTCAACAAGCATCGCCTTGTTTATTCTTGCAGATGTTAGTTTGAAGTATCATTCTTGTTAGTAACCATAAATTATTTAAGTAGGTGACTAGAATACCATTAATTATTTACCAGGAAATACGTTGTTCCGAAAACTAATTCTGATACTATTGTGTTGTATAACTAATTTCAAACATCATATTTGGTTCTAAGTTGTTCTCACTGTAGGTGATGAATTTAGTAATGTAGTGCAACTATATTTTTCAAAATAAAAATTTTTTTTCAATCCTCTTTAAAAGCTATTAAAATTTTTTAGTCTTTTATTATTGTGTCATAAGAAATACATTAAAGAAAATCATGTGTTCAGGCTGTTAAATTGTTGTTAAGGAGTATTTATACAGTATCCATGTGCGTTCTTTTGCTTGAGAATGTATCAAATTGTTTTTCATCTATCAATTTATCGACGCTAACATATTATTTGGAATTTTTTCATGATCTTGCAATCGATTCAATTGACTTACTTCATTATACACATATGCTGGTAAGTCATTTAATTTCACATTTTTTAGTAAAAATTGTTATGAACTAATGATGACTGTCCTGGAAAAAACTTAGTTCGCTTTTTTTTTTGAAAAAATTTTATGGTGGGAAGCTTTTTTTAATCCACATGCTAATATATTCCTCTCCAATTCAGACCTTCAAAAATTTGTCATTTGATATTTTTAGTAACTGCTTTTTTATATGATTGAAACTTATTGCACTTATTCATCTTGCTAGTTGGCATATTCGACATTATAATAGGCTGATTTTTTTTTCCTTATATAAAGAAATGTTTTCAAAGAAATTGCGTATATAATAACTTTCAAGAGAAAAACCATTTTTTTAATACATAAAAATTTGAGATTAAATTATAGCTTTATTCGCAAGTTGTATTAAGTATGGCTTGCATTGTGATTTCCATACAGTTACGATCATTTTATAAGTCATTTGTTACTCGGATTAAGCGGCATATCAAGTATATGCGAATTTGCAACCACATCGATCGTCAGTGAGCCTTTAGTTCTTTTTGTTGCTTTGATTTGAGATATGAGTACTATAAATTTATTGAGAAGGAAGTCGAGGGTTTGAGCACTAGTTATATGTTTTGTATCCTTCATGCTATTATTGAAAGTGTTTATTCATAGATACGATTTTTTCCTTTCCAAGTCCTATCTTGCTTCGAAAATAAACAGTTTATCATTATTATTTTCCACATCAAGAAAAGTATCTTGTATAATTTTTTAGCTATCAAAAAGCGACTTTAAGCGAATTGAATACCTTGCAAGATTGGTGTGCAGTATGTTGGGAACAGATGGACACTGCTCGCAAGCTACCGTGCAATCATTTCTTTCATGAAGGGTAAGTAGGATTACATAGACGGCATTGAAACATAAGTTACGATTTAAGCTGAAAGAAATGTAAAATGTCGTGCCCAGGAATCAACTAAGAAGAAGGTCAGAGGATGTGTGTCTCATTGTGAAAACAAAATTGTTGAAAAAAAAGTGCGAGATCTCGTCATAAAAGGACTGAGGTTTTAAATTTGAAACTGATATAAATGGTAGATAACTATATTTCTTCTCTTACATTATGATTATTGCGATTCTTACATGATTTGTTTTTGCTTGAAACACTTAATGATTTCGTTTGTTGTTTATGGTGTGGCATTTATTTGCAAATGAAGAATAATTAATTTGGTAAGTTGGAGAAAGTATACAAATCGTAACGCAGTAAATACAGATTCAATAATTTTTAGCATTTGTGGAAATGACATTATGATTATTGCGATTCTTTTCTTTCACTGAAATTGAATTAAAATCAGTTAATTCAGGTGTTTACGAGGTTGGTTGGAACAGGATAATTCATGTCCAACTTGTCGATCGTCACTTCCGTCTTCAGGTGCCATGGTAACAAGGGAAGATGAAATATTAGTAGTCCCAGTGTTACGGCCTTTCAGTCACGTTTTTCATTTTCGGGGTCCACATTATGCACGGTGGTTACCATCGTTTTCCGTTGAATTGTCTCATAATTTTGGATCAGATTCTTCTCAACGAAATAGGTGTTTCGCACTCAAGTTTTATTTAAATTTGCAAATGTTTATGTACTTATAAAAATGGAGTGCTATTTTTTAAACTCTGTTTTAGCTATATAAAATTATGACGGAAATATGCTAAGTCTAAGAATAGCAAGTAAATGAAATATTCTTCATCAGAATCGTTGGATAATTAGTATTAAAATTGAATCGTCTTTCTTTGATTTTTTATAATATTTTTAGACTGCTTAATACTTCGAATTCTCAGTTGAATGCATTGGCTGAACAGATTTCGGAAATGTTTCCACAGCTTGAGATGGAGGCAATTATGGGAGATTTGCAGGCAAGCGGCTCATTACAAGCAACTGTTGAAAATATACTTGATGGTCGCTTACGAATGAATGATGCTACTTTGGTAAATGATATTTTTGTGAAGCATTTTTAATTACTGAATTTTGTGATCGTAAAAATTTTCATTTTTGTCCCTAACTAAATCGTTTCAGGATGCGGAAGATGAAAGTTCGAGTTCTTCAGATACATCTTCGTCTGGCGATTCTTCTACTGAGTCACTAGATGATTGTGACGGAACTTCTGAATCATCCCATTTTCAGTCTGCAACTCATTCAGAAGATGGTCATAATAACATTATTTCACAAAAAAAAGCTTTGCTAATTCAACGTCACCGAGAGTAATTTTTTGTTTTCGTTGTTCATTTATTTCTAATTACATTATTAGCACTTAAGACATGTTGGTAGCGATCTAAAAAGAATCGAATTTCTTATTTTGGTCTTGAGGCAATTTAGAAATATTTCTTGACATGAACTGTTGTTTTAAGGAGATATATTGCATCACCTCGAGGCGCTGATCTTCGTCATTAGTGTGGAGAGTTATTTCTCAGCCCATGACAAGATTTTTCGATCCAAAAACGGAAATGTTCCTCATGAAGTTATAGCTTTACTGATTTTCTTTGTATTTGATTCCATTTTTATGATCATTTTCTTTGTATCTTTCTTTTGTTCAAAAGTGAACTTTTATAGATCTCATTTTTCATCCGTTTTCTCAACCATACGGGAAGTTGCCTGTGTAACTTTCAATTTAGGCAAATAGTACAATTTTGTAATAGGGTAATTGCAAATTGCCAACAATTGTGCAGATTAATGTTATAAATATCAAACTAATGACACATTTTCGTTCTTGATACATTATATTTAAATTTTCGGCATGTATTGTTGATTCACATCGGTACGGAAAAATAATTTAACTAGGATATTAATTTTAGCAGTGCCTTTTATTTTAATTTTTTCAATTTTTTTTAAGATTATGAATCATTGGTGCTGAGAAAGTTATCGATCGTTTATAGTGTTCTAATTATTGTATAATTTTTGCTAATTTATTGCAAATCAATTGTGGACGAGAGCTTGACTCAAGCAGTTGTATACTAGCATTTTTTATTTCTCTAAAATTAAGTGCCTAAAAAGTTACTCTGAAGGCAGGAATGGATGTCTTGGACTTTTCAGTCTTGATCTCGGAAATTCTTGACTATTTTGCTCTTCAGCAATTTATTGCAGTCTTAAGATTATTATGGAATGCCGGTCAAGTCAGGCTATGAATTGTAGGAGTTGAAAGTTACTAGTCATGAATGTAGATTCTTTTATCTGTCTCATCCACTTTTTTTACATTAAGATTGGATTGATCAGTTCTTTGTTATGTATCTAATGAGCGCATTTTCTTCTAGTTTTGTTATCATAAATTAATGATTGAGTTGCGATGCACAGATTGTTAAAATGCAACAGCGCACTCATTTTTCATTTTTCGTTGGTCAACGTGGAAGTGGACTGAATTCCATCCTTTGATTTCTTTATAACGTTTTCTTGGTATGTGAAAATGAAGGGTTTGGCAGTTGGTATTTCGCTAAATTTTGGGATGAACTTACGAGCTTAGAAGCGGCAAATGTATGTACTGTAAATAAGGACCGATGCAAGTGGGTACTTGACTATGTTGAGCTTTGAGAAGAAAACTGACATAAAATGAAAAAATTGATAAACTCCTGACGAAGAAATTGTTATCGCAATTAAAAATATCAGGAAAAAACGGAAATTGAGTTTTCAAGTGTAAAGAAAAATGGATTATCGTTATTGCAGAAAATTTTGATAACGAAAACTTTTATTCTTAAATGATATGAATAAAGTAGTCGTTAATTTCTTGAACAGCAGGTATTCAACAAGTATGTAACGCAAGTGGGAGAATTAATAGTCATTCAGATACATTGGTAACAACTAAATGTATGAATTTTTTGCATAAAGTTGAAGTTATGAAGAAACATGAAACTAGAAAATTAAAAATAAAAGTATGGAATGACAGAATTGAACGAAGTTATTGCTGAGAAGATTTCTTTCCATCTATCGTTCTTGGTAAATTAATATTATCAGCAACACAATTGTTATTATCACTATGATGAGATGCTGAAGAGGGACAACTGCTCGCAGTGTTATCCAGCGTGCTTGAACTTGTCATTTTTTGTTCACCATCAACAAAGGGCTCGTATAAGTTGAATCTATTATTGGTTACTTTCGGTTTCTTATGAAAAAAAATGAATAACATGTAGTTGAAAGTACTTTAAAATTAAATAGATTAGTATTGTTTTTCAAAAAAACCAAAAAATTAGCAGATAAAATTGAATGCAATCACATTTACATCTAATTTTTATATTTGCTGTGTCAAAAAACTATGAATAAAAATAACTTGAAAGTAAAACTGAAAATTTATCTAATAATTACAGATATCCATTTTGAGTTTCGATCATTACATCACCATCATCATCACTATCTTGATCTGGAGCCACATAAACAACTTCTAAATGTAGTTCACCTTCCTGGAACTTTAAATTAATTTTAATATTTAAAAATTATCATTTTTATACTCTCTTCTCAACAAAATCATGAGTTATTTAATGAAAGTATCTTATTTGTCCATTTTATAATAATAATTTTTTACTTTCAAATTTTAATCAAAAATAATAAATTAATAAAAAGAGCATACAGCGCAGATTAGTTAAGTTAATTTATAACCAAAATAATTGTAAATGAGCAAGAAATGAAATTTTTTTAAAAAGTTGGTATACCGCAGGATTTATTTTAAAGAAATCCTTGAAAAAGGTTATAGCGTAAAAATTAGTTTGAAAAATTAATTGATTCCGTAATGTTAAAGTAAAGTGAACCTGTTCAGAAAGTATATGCACAGCTTCATTATGCTTTACAGTACGGAGATCGATTCCATTAACGGACAGTACGGCATCGCCTACGAATAAATTACCACAACGTTCAGCAGGTTGATTGGGATGAATTTCCGAAATCAAAATTGGTACTCCGTGCTCTTTACCACCCTTAATAGTTTGATTTTCCTGATGCAAATTCTTGCAAGTTTGTTAGACATAGTGAGAAATCGATTAAGGAAATCAATATGTCCATTTTAAAAGTATGTTTGCGCATTAATATCGATTAGATATCAGTAGATTCCATTGACGACTCATTTGAATACGTTAGAATTACTTTCTGAAGTCCAAGTGCCTAGAAATTTATACAATATGTCGAACCTAGTATCTCAATAAGTAAATAGCTTTTAGTAAAATTTTTAATACTGTTTTACAATATACAGCCTGCATTTGTTTACTAGGAATTTAGCCTAATTAAATTAACCTAAAACAATACGATAATTTAAATTACTAAATGATAATTTGTTTTTTTTTTCGATTAATTAAAAGTTAATCTCACTGTAATTGATATGCCAAGACCTTCATGTGGTTCTTTAGTCAAAATTACATTGCGCATTTGTCCAACACCTTTGTGCTTCCTTAAACTTATATAATCATGTTGAGGTGGCAATGGTAAATGCTTTTGATTCGCGCGTCTTCCTCTGCAAATTTGAATATCAAAGAATTTGGTACACTAATTAAGATTAAATTTAATTTTTTCACAAGAAAAAATAATACCTGCAAGCCCGAATTACAGTTTTATGACGATGAAGATGAATTTCTGCTTCTAGCTGATTCCATAGCCGATCGTGTTCAGCACCTCTCATATCTCGTCCAAGAAGTTGAATTTGCTGAATCCTAGAAAAAACATACTTCAAATACAGCTCAGCAGCATTCAAATTTGATCGCACAAAATAGTTTAATTTAGAGCAAAAAATGTATAATTAATAATGCTTACAAATTATGCGAGGGAAATATTCTTGGAACTGTTAAATTATCAAATTTTATGACATATAAAAAGGTAATAAAATGAGTTAGTTTCCATCTTTAGATATAGAAGTTCTCATAAATAAAAATTTTTTATAATAAATGCAAAAAATTGAGAAAATATTTAATAAAAAAGCAAATAATGCAATTAATAAACCTACGCCATTTCTATTTTCATGCACATTTTATTAAGTGTTATCAAACCTTCCAGCGAGCTCTTTATCCAAGTATTTAGCAGCGAGTCGTGCACCATAAACTTCATTTTGTATAGCTAAAATCATTTGACGATATTTTTTGTTTTCTTTACGCAGAAATTCTACTTCCGAGCGAAGTTTCGCGGGAGGTCGAATTTCAGATCGGAAATCCAAGATTTCTTGTTCCTATTTTTTGATTTATTGAAATTGAGATGAATATAATTAATAATAAAATATAAATTTTCAAAGTTTTAGCTTGAAATAATAAAGAGCGCAAATAATGCGTTTATTTTTTGTAAATTTATTGACGAATCGATTATTTAAATTTTTTTTGCTACAAAAAAAAGAGCAGTAAGAATAATAGGATTTAGAGTATTTTAACAGTGGATAAAATTTTGTCTCAAATATTTGATTTTAAAAATCATACAAAAGACTTCTTCAGAGGTTAAAAAGTCATTTGTTTCATCTTTTTGCAAATCAATGTTTTGTATAACTGTTTCCAGAAATTTGATACTTTTACAGAGATCAAATTTGAAAAAGAAGTTACAGATCACAAAATATAAAAATAAATACTAGTTTTTTCTTGATCATATCTGATTCATGTGGAGCAGTTTTAGAATGCACTTGACAATGCAATCTATGAACCTGAATATTCAAAGTTTTTTATTTATTTAATATGCACAAAAATCAAAACCAATGAGGCTGAATATAGACAAATCTTCTAGAGATAATAAACTGTAAATATTACTGTATAATGAGATTTTTCAAAAATTGTTCAAATTCATGTGCTAAACTTGAGTGAAATCAAACTTGGAGCATAAGTTGTTGAGATTCACGTTCTAATTCTATCTGAGCAGCTCGCGAAGAGCAAAAATCTTGTCGAAGTTGAGCTAATTCTGCCTGTCATTATTTTATAAGTCTCATACAGAAATTAAATATGAATTTAAAAAAAGGTATTTTATTGCTTATATTTTGATATAAATTACTACTTTGTTTCCATTTTCTGAAGTATTTTTGACAAATTTAATAATAATATATTTATCGCAATCTAAGATTGTATTTAAAAGTAGTTAGCTAAAAATTAAAAATACTTCTTGGCGCAAATTACACTGAAAGATTGTTTGCGCTTTGTGGACAAGTTGAGCAAATGCACTACTCAAAGCAGTCATCTTTTGTCGACTTTCAAACATTATATCTGCCTAAAAGACTGAACCGATAATTTTTAAAAATAACTTTTAAAATTATGCATAAAAGTGAAATTAGAACAAATTAATAATGCATAAATCTCTTCTTTATTTGCTGTTATTAATTAGTTGAAGTAAAACACATTTTTATAGATAGAAACTGATAAAATAGCTACGAGACTGTATTTTACCACAAGTGATATTATTGCATGTGAGATTAATTTTTTATGTGAGAATAAAATACAACTTCATGGACAAAATTTGGGAGTAAATTAAAGTGAAAAAACTTTCAAGCTGATTCCATATGCTTTCTTGAGTTTATGATTTATAGTAAGCAAAGAAAGGATTGTTAAATTGTAATTTGTGTATCTAAAAAGTAATGAAATTAATAATTGCTTGAAGATATATACCTGATCAACATCAATCTCTCCAAGCAATAAATCCAAGTCAACGAATGCCTTATCAAAATCCTTTTCCAGCACATCTAACCAGACTAACATTGGACCCACAATCGGTCGGTCATCTGATGCTGTCATTCTATAACTTATTTAATTATAATAATTAGTAGATTCACACACAAATATATATTATTAGTGATACTTATATGACAATTATATAACAAATATATTACATCAAATACAATATTTGGCAAGGTATTCAAATTTTCATTTTATATGAAAATTTAGAAAAAAAATTACTTGGAAAGTTTAAGGAATTGGATTAAATGTTTCATGCTCTAGCTAAGTAATTGATCTAAGCAGTAATTCAATCAGTGCAAATTAACAAAAAATATAACGTGTGCTACAATCAATGCTATTGATTAGGATAAAAAGCGTGAAATGCTGCGTACGAGAAATGCGAATACTATACGAAATTATGGTGCTTTCGATGAATTTTTAGCACATTTTGCACACAACAGATAGATGCTAATTAAGTAATTAATACGAATTAAGTAAGTATGCATTTTACTTTTTTCTCACACAAAAAATAAGCAAAAATCTTTAAAATTTATTTCATACAAAACGAACTTTTTTCTTCCAAAAGTAAATGTTCACACTTGAAGTTTTGATAAACTGTCAAATATATTAATTTTTGATTTTGACTTATGACAATATCATTTGTGCAATAATTTTCGATCTAATTACACATTCAAATTATCAACTTTAAAGTTTACGCCTGATAAAAATTAATGAAAAAATGCAATCCACACCAGTAATAAATTCACAAAAACGCTATATTTGAATAAATAAACATTAATAACAATGAGTAAAATAGTTTAGTTTATTGAAACTTTAATAAGGCATAATTTTAAAGGTGATAGATAATTAGAATGCTGTAATTGTAAAACAATATATAAAACTATTTGAGAGAAATAATGAAAAATTAACAAAAACTACAAATGAAAGTAGCATTGAGAAGCCTACAAAATTAAGTCTTACCAATTTATTAATTGTAATCAAAAGCTATGCAGAACAAACCAACTTTATATTTGCATTTAAACAGTTGAAGAGAGAAACAACCGCTCCTTAAATTCAATTTGTTTTGATTTGAAAATTTTCTGTTTTACACCACCAAAACTATAATAATATTGTTGCGTTACCAATTTGCATATTTTTATTTCTATTTTTAAAAAGATACGTCTCTCACAACTTTGTTTATAATCAGTTTTGCATTTTGCTGCAAAACAAATTGTTATTCGATATATTTTTATTAGAAAAAAAATGAAGAAAAATTAGTTTTAAATGTGATTTATGCAATATAAAATTTAAAAAAGGGAAACTGTATTCAATAGAAAATATTATTAATTATAAATTGCGATTAATCTTATGGATGACTGAAAATAACGCTTTAATATTTTCAAAATCTTTTATTTTTTCACAAAATTATTCACAATTTACTATGTCAAATACAAAATTGATTATTCTTGCAAATTTTACAGAAATACACAGTTTAAATTTTAGTACATCACTAGCAATTTTTCAAATTTATCAATAAATTATTAGCAACAAACAGAATCCATTTTCTTTATTTTTATCGGATAATTTTAAAATGCGCAAATAACAAGCATAACAACACTTACGGTATAATTTTTCAAACATTTGCCAGCATAAAAGTTTGCAGTGTTAGTGTGATCTAATTGTTGTATAACCAAATAAAATGGACTAAAATAGAAAAGACAAATAAAATTGCTTTTCTTAGAAAGAAGCAAAAAAGTGCAGCTGTGTTATTTGCAAGAATCTGAAGAAGACGGATCGAATGCCTTCAGTGGCCATAATTTTTCGTATTCTTTCATACAATTTGAAAAAGCGATAATCCCTAAGGAAATGCTAAAATCACTCTCTCATTTCATATATAAAACATACAAGTAAGTATATTGCATTTAAATATATTTGATCAATAAATAAAAAATTTAAATTTCCAAAGAAAATTGATATTTGAAAAAAGAACAATGCTTGCTGCTTGTAAAAAATTCATTTTTCATTTATATAATAAGTAAGCGCTACCAAATATAAGTACTCAATATAATTGAGTTAAGATTAATTCTTTTATCCGTTTTTGAATAATTCAAAAATGATTCCCATTTTTGGGTACAACGAAAAACAGAAAGTAAAAATAGTATTGCGATTGAGCTTTTTTATTATCTTTTTTATTATAATAATAAACATTACTCTATTTTAGCGTTATAATTAAATACTATACTAATATTACATAATTTAATAAATATCACCAATAAAAGATAACACATTTCTTGTGATATATATATTTATATATATATATATAATCATAAATTAATATTATTTTATGCAAGAAGTGAAAAATCATTTAGCTTCAAATACAATTTGTTGCTGTCTGCTTCATTTCTTATTATATCCATTTACTTGCATTCTTAACTAATCCAGCAATAAATCACAGTCCAATTTTAATTCATGAAGAATTCTAGAATCTATTTATCCCTTGGGTTTCTGTTATTTGCATCAATTGAAGTCATTTCATTCTCTTTACTTTTTGTCTAAGCCAATTTATTACCTATTGTCTTTCTTATTCTTAAATCTGAATCTTAATAATTACTTTTTTTTATCTTCATTTTTTCTTTATTCTCTCAATTCCTTTCTTTATCTTCTTTTATCATCTTTCTTTATCTCAAATACCATCTACTACAAATAAAAATAAATAAACAAAAGAAATAAAAGTCACGTCTATCTAATTAATAATACTAATAAATACTAATAAATAATAATAATAATAATCGTAATAATAATATTAACTGTTATTATTGTTATTGCTAAATATATTTTACATCACTATGCTGTTGGAACGGATGGGATAGAGATTCTTGTTCAAATTTGAGCTTAAATTTTCAGCAATATACATCGATCGTACCAGTAAATCTAATTAACGACTATTTGCTTGTCTTATTTGGATAAAAACAAAAAATAAAAGAAGCAAATGAAATTGTGAAAATCGAAGCTTCCACTAATTCGGCACGAATATCAACAACTCACTTTATTTGTCTACCATTTTCTGTACAATAGCTTTTTTTAATTGAATATTTTTTGTAGATTGAATCAATTTAAATATATAAAAAGTACAGTTTAGCTTGCATTTCTTTCAATTATTTCAAATTATTTTTACTGTAATTTGAAATTTAAATCTTCTCAGATAGATACTTTTGTGAAGTAGAAATTGTTTGAATAATATTCTAACAAATACAAAAATTTGTCTCAGACTTTTTCTTTAAACTAAGCACAGTACTAATTAATATTTGAACTATAAAAAATAATCTATCTATCTATCTCTCAAACAAAAATCGCCCAACTATGTGATATTTATTCACTTTGATTTGTATATTTTTCCCTTCCAATTTCTTTCTTCTCTCTTGAAGTGAGAACAAATTAAAATTTGTTCTATGTACATACAACAGAAAAATTGGATTGCTACAAAGTTATTCCATTTAAGGAAGATATCTATTAAATGCTCATTTATGCTAATACTTAAAGATATGTTGATAGAATTAGATTGAAATTGAAGAATGCGAGAATGCAGTTAGAATATTGCATAATGAAAATAACAATATATTTTTCGGTTTATCCGTCTTCGTTTTTTTTTGAAAATTACAAAGTAATGCTTTATTTTTTTTACCATGCTTGAAATCAACTTAAAATGTGTTTGCTAGTTAATTTTTTGCATAAATTGCGCAGCCTTTAACTACATATAAAACTTTTCCATTCAAAGTAATCCGTTCTAATTACAATTTGCAAGATTAATTCTAAGCACAGAATATTTCTTCAAACTAAACTGAAATATTATGAAAAAGATTAAGCTTTCTGCTAATAAGTTTTTTTTTTCTATAAATACATCAAGCAAAAATAAGACAGACATATGAAGAAGCAAAAGACTGCGCAGAATTATTAACAAAAATAAAACTTGTAGGTAAATCTTGAATTAATGTGAATGAACAGATTGATAACAACATGAAATAATACACATAATATAAATTCACAATGGTGATAAAAGATGTGGTAAGGAAATTGTAATTAAGAAAAGAAAGATTTATATACAAGTTTAATAAAGATGAAGTTATTGTGACGTTAAACAAATACGACAATATCTGCGCATATTTTGTAATATTGGCGTACCCCAAATTATCGTGAATTATGCACGTTTATATTATTAAAATATACAATAATAAGCTTTTTTAATTTGAAAAAAATATTTTATCAAAATAATTTCTTGCGCAATAATATAATAGAATTAACAGTATTTATGTGATTAGTATACTACTGTAAGTAATCATTTGATACAATAATACTAATTCATACTTTAATATTTCTTTTTAGCCAAGAATACCAACAAGTGATTAGTAATAACTGACATCACTGCTAACTTATTTATTCCAAACTTTATTATAAGCTCTGCCAATATGTTCTGCCCTGATATCATTATCATTTTTGAGCTTATTTTTTCACTATTTTATTCTAAGAATTATTAATTATGAATATCTTTTTAATTGATAATTATTATTTAGATAAATTTGCATAAAATTATCAATTTTTTTTACAGATTTATGACTTATAACAAAACTTTGTAGCAGAACTATTCGTTCAGTTTAAAGAGCTTAAATAATTGAGAAGCTTCAGCTACTGAAAGCAATAAACAATCTGTAAAAGACAATTTTTTATTTTCAAGTTTTAATGGCTTTTTGTTTGCCACAATGACTTTTTTGACCCTTTCGAATTTTTTTGCTTCTCTCGAAGAAATTCTTAGAAAGAATTGTTTTTCAACAATCACATTTAGTTTCCTCCAAATTATAAACTACTTTCAGATGAAGTAAAAGTAGTCAGTTACCATTTTAAGTAATCCAATTTCTGTTCTAATAACAAATTCAAATTTGTGTTTATTTCCTTCTCAAATTAAGAAGCAGTATTCCTGTAAAATGAAATTTAAATTTCTTTATCATTTTAATCAGATATTATCAGTTTAAAACATTGTAATTCACTACACAAGTAAACAAAAAGAAACATTAATTTTCTATACA